ATAATGTTTAATTACCTTTAAATATAATAATTGTATGTAGAATATATTTTATTTTAATATCTTAAAAAGATTTTTAAATTTAAATAAAATAAATTTAAATAATTTATAAATCCATAGAAAAACAAAATCATTTATAAGTAACGAAAGGAATATTTATGCATATATAAAATATATATATAAAATTTAATCCTTATAAATATATCAATTATATTAAATGATTTTGTAGTTTATAAATATATTATGTATATATTTTATTTTTATTACTATTTATCTTTATTATTTTTATATTTGTTATCTTAAATTTTCAAATGTATGCATATGTAATTATAAATTAATGAAGTTTGTATACTAGTGTAAATATGAAATATTTCAATATTTTCTAGTTAACTAACTATCATTCAAATAAATTAATAAATAATATTGAACGAGAATGTATCGAAAATAATAGAAATAATGAAAAAAAAAAATTAGATTACATTTTTAAAAGAGAGCAAAATAAAATCTGCCGATGTCAATTTCTTTAGATCAACCTAACCTACACACTTCTATATCATTTATTACTATCAACAATATATAAAATATATGCGATTAAGGTAAATATAAAATATAAGAAATAATAATAATTCCTATATTTACCAGCACATTATAGTTTACAGGATATGTATGTATACATGGCTTTCCCGTTTTTTCGGCAGAGACCAACACCATTGAATTGTGTCCTACGACTAACTAACTTTAACGGCTGGCTCCGCACAATTTCTCGTTTTTTGTTTGTCTAATTCACTAGTCACATATTTTACGATAGCAAGAATGTATTTCACATTCACGAATATGAAGAAAAGATACAGTAAACAGTGGCGAGATGTCACAAAGTATATGGAGCAAGGAAGCGCACGCCAATGTTTCAGGTCGCCATTGTTGCGTTACGCGTGTCCCTGTAGTTGTATTGTTCGCATACAGAATGTTACACGATGTATTCCACAGATGGCGTTACCAACTACATTCCTGTAACATCGAAACAATTAAGATAACTTCATATTATCGCGATGATTTCCTTTTCATTTAATTTATAAAAATTATATTAGTTTTTATAAGTAATAAAAATTAATCAATATATAGTTGTTCGTATCACATATACGAATCAAAAATAGTTTGCTTTCTTGAAATTATTTATAAAAATTATATTCATATGATTACAATGATATTAAATATACAATAATATAAAAAATCGACGAAGAATGAAGAAGCTTATGTGATTAATTTCTGAACTAAACGTTCACAATTCAAGCCAATAATTTGACAATAGAAGTATGTAAATGAGAAGTACGTAAATGAGAAGTTTACCCAAGATAGAACAATTTAGTTTGTTACGAATTATGTTACAAAACATATGTTATTTTGACAGTGCTATTACCAGTGTTTCTGAAATTCTCGTTCTCTTTCGCTTTGTCTCTCCTTTTCCCCTCCCCTCCCGATCTCACTCTCTCTCCCTCTTTCACTTACTAGTTTCACGCGTTATAGATATCTTCCATTCGCATTAGATCCAAGAGTTGCCCCTGTAACCTCAGAGTAGAGCCTGTACACGTCACTTTAATTATTTGAGTTACATTAGCAAGTTAGCGAGGTTTAACAACTGGAAAATGGATTTCGCGCGCGCGCATATCTACTGCGGATAGTTACTTCCTAGTTACTCGTAATATATTTCACGAAATTTCGATAAAGTTAAATTATTTTATTTTGATAAAGATTCATAGAAAGAAAAAAATGGAAGCGTTCATTATTGAGAACGATATATGGGACGAAGTAAAAGTGAAACTTAAGTATCGTTCGAGTTGAAAATTCCCATAAATTCCCGCGCTTTCGTAACAGTCAAGATATAATATATATTATAACTTTTGAATTTCGAAAAACATCTTTGATGTATTTATTCTTTAAATAGAAAGCTATAAGTGATTTTATCGATCCTATGATTAATGTTTTAAATGTTTATAATTTATTTGTCAGAAATGATACAAATCAAAAATAGTAATCGTGAGATACGAACACTTTTGATGAGAAAAAAAAAATGTAAAGAAAACTTGAAAGATGAATAAAAAAAGCAAAGATCATGAAACGAGGGAGGAGGGGGGGGAGAAGGGAAAGGATAAAAGACAAAGGATCGAAAATTTGTTGGAAGGTCGTGAAATGTGGCAATTGAAGAACGACGCAAATAGATTCTACAAATAGCAGCATTTCCCAAACAAATACGGCATGCCAATCAATCTGCCGTGCGCATACGCGTGTCTTGAATAAGAACGAGCGATTTGCGCGAATTATTGGAAGCCGCCAGTTACCGGTGAACATTTCATCAGGAGAATGCATCGAAGAATCCGCGTTTCGATCAGATTTTGCGACGTTCATGTTTAAAGTTGATTCATCCTCTATCTTGTTACTACATAAGTAAGTACTTACATATGTTTTCATTTCTTGAATTATTCATAATTGCAATCTTCGCAACGAATCATGTTTCGAACGAAAATATGAATCTCAACGAAGATTATTACTTTTGAAAGATTTATATTCCATGTTTTCTTAAATATATTTTTAGATTTATGGAATTATTTGGTCATTATTTTTAAAATCTAATCTAATCCGTTTCAGGTATAATAACGGTATCCATTAGTTGGGTCGGTGAAACGCGTTGAATAGAAAGATCGGCATCGAACGGGTATTTCGACGGAGCAATTTTCGTCCATCGCGTTAGAGATTCGGCAATAAAGCGGGAGCGCGATCGAGTGAAATTACAGTGGCGATTGTTCAAACTGACAGGAACAAGGCGAGCATTGCGGCTTGATGCCGGACCAATTTTTACGCGTTATCGTCTCGTGTCAGTGTCCATCGGCTGCGTTCGATTGCACTTCTGAAAGCATAGCAAAATACGTTTTCCGCGCGTGATTTCGATCAATGTCATCGCCGAAAGCCTCGAGAAATCAAAAACGCTTGCGCATCTCGAGCGTGGCCAGTTGATAGTCAACGTTTGATTTCCTTTTTGTCATTAATAATAATTATAGAGATAAACGTAGGCAACGTTCCTTTATGCTTTCAGCCGGAGGTTTAGACTTTTTCCACTTTCTCTCGTGGAATCAATAGACGCGCACGTTTAACGGACCGTAACGTATTCTATGAACTTTCATCTTGGAATTTCTAATATAAGAAAGTTTGGGATTGCATTAAAAACAATCTTATTAAAATATTTATTCTTTTTTCCTCTTTTTTATCATCAACAACATTTCGATAGAAGATGAACGTATCGATCTAAACATATATCAATTTTAAATAATTGAGATTTATTTTTAAAATTCATTTATTGAAGGGAAACTCGAACTCGTCATTTTTTATTATCGGTCTTATAACAACGATTCGAAAATTAGAAGGTTGCTTGAATGAAGAACGTATTCGATCGAATCTTACGCTATGCAATTGTTGTAATAACAACTTCGAGCAAAACGAGATGAGACGTTACGTCGTCGTTTCCTGTTTTAACCATACTCGGCGAAAGCAGTGAAAGTGAAGGAACAGTGATCCGTAAAGTTGCCATACTTCAAACGAAATTAACGAGAATCGATTCTTTTCTCCCTTAACCTAGGAGAAAAAAAATTTGTAAATCCTCCTGATTGAAACATCCAAATAGTGAGGAATCAAAGGAAGAAAAATTTTGATCTTCGTCTGTAATGGACAAGGATAGATCGATACATGCTTTGTTTACGTTCGATTTATTTGCCAGTTAATTGCCGGAATTTGGTATACGCGCGTCCTTCCAAGACGACACAGCGGTTGAATTTCGTCTTGAATTTCAGTCAGTCACCGCGTGGTGCGTGACTTTGGAAACTCGATACTCGATGTCCAAACGTTTCGTATTGTCGAATTCGTATTTCCACATATCGAAACGAGATTTTCTTTTTCTTTTTTTTTTTTTCTTTTGCAAAGATATTTCTACGTTTCGAAAATCTTCGATTCTCTTTTCTTCGTATCGTTCGATCGGATCGAAAAGCGATCGATATTCAAACGACGAATCGTCGAAAAAGAAAGGAGAGGGAGAGGTCGGTGATGGAGAGGTGACTCTCTGAGAGATGAAAAAAGTAGGAGGGGGAGGGAAAAAAGGCGCGTGGAGGAAATTCTGTGGACGCCGCAAAAGCTTCGAATCCCGTCGGATCAAAAGTAGATCGGCGAATGAATCCTGCCCGTGTAATCTTTATCGATACAAGGCACAATCTCTCTTTTCGGTCGCTGCGTCCGTATCGTTTCGTTTCGATAACGCGCCGGACTTTAGCCGATCCGCGCCGATCTCTCCGTCCTGTATCGGTATCTCGTTACACTTTCCTTCTCCCTCTGTCTACGTTCGGTGAGCAGCTTAATCGTATTTTACGGCAGATCACCCCGCCGTTATTCTTTTTACTCGATTTTTTTCACACCAATTCGCCGGCTGTTATCGTCGTGGACAGACACACACGTTTCCAACGTGGCGCCGGTTGCGCCGTCGGCTCGATCGTCCGTTAAATCCGCGGCTTTATCGGAATTTCTCTTTCTCCCTGTCGTTCGCCCGACTTCGTTTCGCCCGATTTTGATGGAAAATCGAAAGTCGGATCGTTTCCAACAACGCTCATCTTTGTCTCGTCGCAAAGAAAAAAAAAAAAAACTCTTTTCTCCTTCCTTTTTGCTTTTGAAATGATCGATAAATCTTATCGAAAGATCGCGATACGAGCGAGAAATCGAAGGAATATTTTTTTCTCGATTATAAGATCGAAAGTTGACCAATTCTTTCTTTTTCCCCGAAATTGATAAACCAAACTCGCCAAATCGTCGATCGACTCGAGGAACGAAGGCAGAGAGGCGAAGGGAAGGGTTCTTCACTGTTCGACGAGTGGAATGAAAAAAAAAAAAAAAAAGGAATGGAAAAGATCGGGTGGGAAATGTCAAAGGTGGAGAAGGAGGTGAAACGTTGGAGGAGAGCGCGTGGAGCGACGCGACTGGAGCGCGATCGAGCGGAAGAAAGAGAGAAACAAAAGAAAGCGCAACGAGTCGCAGGAAATTAAGGAGCAAGGTGGAAGAGCGAGAACGAAGGAAGGAAAAGTGGCAACCTGTACGGCGCACACTCACGCACGTCTCGGTTTCCCCTACCATCGTAACTGGCCGGTTACACGAGCGAGGTGGCCGAGGAGACGGAGAGCCAACGATATATATCATCGTAGCGTCGTCGCTCGCTACACACACTTTCGTATTTATCGGGCGAAGAAGGGGAGGAAAGGCCACGGGCGGTATCTTCGGGCCAGTGCGTCCCGAGATTTTGCGGTGAGAGGATCGCATAAGTTTTTATTTCGCTTTTTTTACTTCGTCTACACCTCTCGCCACACTTCTTCGTTTCTTCGACGATTTTTCCACCATTTTTCTTCGCGCCGTTATCAGGAAATCCATCGTGCACGCCCCCAACACCCCCGACATGGCTTCGGCAATCAAGGTGAGTGAGTGACGAACGTGCAACAGGTAGATACACGCGCACCTCTGTGTACACGTACGCTCGGTGATTTAAAGTTTCGCAGTATCCGGAGGGATTCTCTCTCTCTCTCTCTCTTTTCCTCTTCTCTTTCTCTTCCCATTCCTGTCGCCGCCATGGGACTCGCTCGGTGTTCCCGCAGGGGCGGTTGCTTCCGTACGCGACCAGCGAATTCGATACCCTCACCTTGATCGTCCCTTTTACCGTGAATATTTACAAGAGTATCACGTACTTGCAACTTTTCCCGATCAAACCCACGTATCGCGAATACCGATCGCATAGTGGTTAAACGGCTTATTATCGGTGATTTCGATGCTACTGTTGTTGTACGTATGAACGCACATTTCCTGCGATTCTACTTTCTACTTCTGCGTCCATATTTCTTTCCAAAAGTTCGCTTTCCTCGTCGACTTTCGCGTTCTTTTTTACCGATCGATTTTCACCATCCAACGTTCGTTACATCGGCGCGTTAGATAATTTTCGCGTAACGCGAAAGTGTCGTTGCACGCAATATAGAAATCAAATATCAATTTTCTGAAACGTAATCTGGTTTGAAATATACTTGGTGGAAATGATAATAATCGCGACGACAAACTAATCGGAATAAGAGAAATGCTTACGGTATTAAAGAATCGATAAATTTTCAAAAAGGATACGGACTAGGTTTGCGTGAGTGCATTCCTTCGCTTGATGTACAAGTTCATTGGTGGAGAAAGAAGGAGCGCGAGTTTGATTGGTTAATTTGTAAAGGAAACGCCTATTTTCACACGCATTTTTGTTTTTATCATAATATTTGTTACATATACTAATCTAAAACGTCGAATTAATCCAGTGTGTCGATATAATATAAAAATTTTGTTATTTCTCATAATATGTATAGGCTAATTACGATTCGTAACATTAGTTTAATTTATAAATGTAATTTTGTATTCAATCAGTTAGGATGATAATCGTATGTACACGAATAAATTAGACATACTATTTAAATAATTAATAGCTTCGAAAATACTTCAGCTTCCAGTCTTAGGTAGATTAACATAACTTCATAAATGAAAATAATTTTTACGATTTTAAATATTCAGGTTATAGCTCTTCTACTATATTATGTAGCGTGTCAGGATTGTCAACAAAGCGTCTGAAGTGGGGATAGGCGGTCGTAGCGAAGAACCTTCCTTTTGCCCTTGCACCGTCTCGCGAGACTTCTTTCCACCAGTCCAAGAAGAGTACATATGCATTTACTTATTTACTATATTTACATATTTATTTACTATGTAATATCTCTCTTCAAATATTTCGAATTCTAAAAAAAAGAAAAAAAAGTAGCGTTTATATGTTCATTTCCCGTGGAAACGAAATAGTAAGTGAGAAGCGGATCGATTTTGCCATTTTCTTGTTTCCGATAAAAAATGATTAAATTCCGGCACGTAGTGCAACTCCAAGGACGAGCAAACTGATTTAAAACTATTTACCGACAGCATTGCTTACGTTATAACTTATGCGTGTCGCAATCTTGTATATTTACGTACACGGCATGGAAATGGCGTGCTGCACGGAATAACAAGTTGAACGAAAGACTCAATTACCTTGAACAAACCGTGATGCGCATCTTTTGTTGAAAGCTTATGGAAGAAAAATGGATTAACGATTCCTTCTATCCTCCTTCATCCTTTCCAATTTTGATACCGACCGAGTTGCGGTTTTACGATGGATAATACGACGACGATAATACTCGTAACACCTTCGATTTCGTAATTCCTTTGATCCATTTACCGACTAATTGTTACACATCGATTACACCAATAGACCATTCTGCGATTGTAAATTAATTTAATAACTGGAAACAACGCGATATTTCGGCCAGCGCCGTACACAAACGATAAATTATTTATTTATTTACCGTTTGAGCAGCAGGCGGTTTCGCGCTTGCGCGTGCGATAATTGCAACGGAATATTAGGGCGACAAACTGGTTGCGCGAGTTTTCCGGGCAACTCGTTTAAACGTGTGAATTATCATTCATAGACCGTGACGATAATTAACGGGCCATACGTAGGATTCGCGCGGAATTCACGTATATGAAGGGGAGGGGGAGAGGAGGGATCGTCAGGATGTCTCGCTCGGATGTAATAACCCACGTATACAACGTTACGGTTACTATCGTTACAGTCAACGTGTGACAGCAATAAAATCTATATCACACCCATTTGCCATTTAGAGCGGCCCAATAATTCTTATAATCCGCATCGATTTGCGGAAGTAAGCGGTTTGCGTGCACGTAACCCGCATCCAATCCACAAATCATCCCTGGCCCGTGTATACGTATACAGCCCCGTGCCCCGTGATGATTTACCGAATCGTCGCGATTATTAGCACGAAAATCGAAACTCAGCCACCATCGATCCGATCTCCAAAGTATTTTTACCGATCGACGGCAACGCAATCCTTTCGATCCGAATATTTTTTTCAACCGTATTTACAAGGATCGAGGAGGGGGGGGGGGAGGGAAATCGAATAATAACGCGCCAGTTTTTAATTGCGTTCAAAGTGTTCTCGAGGATCGCGAGTAATTTAGGTGGTTTAATTGGGAAAATCGAAACGAAGCCGAATAGGGAGGGAAAAAAAAAAAAAGAAAAAGAAAAAAGGAAGGATGGCGAATTGTGACGCGAGTTGTTTAAAAAACGAGCTCGATCGTTAGGAGATACGTGTATGTATGTGGAATCGAGAGGTCAAACAACGCGGCGAAAATAAAATGGAACTTTGAAATATTCGTCAGGGAGCGTGTCAAAAGAACGGAAAAAAAAAAAAGAGAGAGAGAGAGAAAGCAATATAGAACCTAGAACGCGAAAATATATTCATCGAGTCAAGTAGCTTCGATTTAAACTATTTTCCGTTGTAAACTCCTCTTCATCCCTTCATACATTTTACACAGAACGATTCGAAGCGTTCTAAGATTCTCACAAAAAAAAAAACTTGCTTAAAAAGAACTAATTTACCTCTGTGTTTTTTCAACCTTCATTTCGTTCGAATTAATTAACGATGGTGAATAAAAAATAAAAGAAGATTGGTCGATCATCGTGGAAGCGTGAGGAAACGCGGAACCGTGTCGAAGGGAGAGCGTGCAGAAGCAAACAAACGGAAGTTGTAGGATGCCTTCGTTACTCACGATGCTTCCTAACCCGTGTTAGCTTTGCCGCGTTTCGCTAGGGCAGCGAATGTCTGCACCTAACCTTAACCTCCCTTCCTACCATTCCAGTCTATGTGCATACTTGTGTTTCCGACCTTTGCCGCCTTACAACTGCCAATTTCCTTCGTCTACCTGTTATATCCACCTTTATTTCTCGAATACATTCTCGAGTCTACTCTCAACGGATGAAAATACTTCGGTTCTTCCTTCACTTTATCATACGATTCGACGCGTGAAAAAAAATTTTCTTTCGACCGTTTTACGTTTTAAACATTCCCTTATTTCGAATTTGTTTTGTATTTCAGTTTGGTTTTTCTTTTTTATCTCGCGTAATTATAATTTCAGGCGTTGTTGATCGCTTGCGCTCTCCTCGTCTACACCGTTACGGCAGAAACGGAAGAAGGACAGAGTGGAAGATCGCGGGTCTCCGACGAGCAATTAAACATGGCCTTGAGCGACCAACGTTACTTGAGAAGGCAGCTGAAGTGCGCGTTGGGCGAGGCTCCATGCGACCCGGTCGGGAGAAGATTGAAAAGTAAATATTGTACTCGAACGAATTTGATCGAATTAAAAAAAAAAAAAAAAAAAGAAGAGAGAGAATCGAATATTTTCCTCGATTCGAGAATTGATTTGACTGAGAAGTAAAAAAAAAAAAAAAAAAAATTTTTAATCCTACGATAAAATGTGCAGTGTTTCGGACGAGGAGTCATCGAATTGTTTAGATCGGATTTATATCCGTATTTCGAGGGTCGTCCCGAGTTTCCCTCGAAGAGTTTGCCGATAAATTTCTATAAAGTTACCAGCAGAATTCGATTTAACCCGGCCGTTGTTATCCAGGTTTAGCACCACTGGTTTTGAGAGGCGCCTGCCCGCAATGTAGCCCCGAGGAAACACGACAGATCAAGAAGGTCCTTTCGCACATTCAACGAACCTATCCAAAGGAGTGGTCGAAGATAGTGCAGCAGTATGCCGGAGTTTCGTAAGGCCCCGGGATAATGGAAAGCGGCTAAGGAGAAAACAACTGGACACACCCTGTAAAGAGAAAAAATATGGGACAGCAGATCTGTTTAGAATAGCCGAATATCTAATGATATTCAATATTTAATCCCTCTTTATCTTTCGACAAAGATATCGAGCAACTATTCCGATATTATTCCGTTAAGCTTATATATATATATATTTTATATATATAAGCAGTATTTTATATTACACGTCGTAATAAAGCTTGTTTTTCGAAATGTACGATTTTTCTATTTTCTCTAAAAAAATAATTCTGACTCAACTTGGTGGTTTCGATTTGTAAAATTCTACAGGTTGAGAAATTTTACTACAGGTATCGAATTCGTAGAATTCACCACCAACTAACCGAATCTCATTTATTTGCATCAAAGCGTTCGAGAGAAGAACCACAAGAGTGGTGTGTATATATATATATATATATATATATATATACAAGATAAGAAAGAAG